TACTAAACATACTTACTACGACTAGCTAGCCATAATACTTAAAAAGAGTCTAAAATAAAAAAATCCATTATAATAATATTCTTATAAAAAAATATAATAATATAATAATAATAAAAAGAGATTAAAAGAGGTTTTTAGTATTAATTATAGTGTTTAGTAGTATAATTACTTAGTTAAGAAAAGTAAAACTAGACCTTAGGGGGTAGAGTTAAGCTCTTTTTATATTCTTCTTACTTTTCTATAAGATTCTAAAGGTTTCTATTATATTACTAATTATTAGATATAATTAATAATACTATTAATAATAAACTACTCTCTAGAATAATATAGAATTATTTTATTATTAATTATTATTAATATTATTCTACTTAATTCTACTAGATTCTATTAGATTCTATTACGAAGGTAACTTTGTTTACCTTATTATTCGCCTGATTATTAATATTACGTAAGCAAACTATATACTATATCAATCTACGATTTCTATAGATTATTATAGGTATTAATTATATAAGCAATACTACTTACATAAGCTTACGTGAGCAATAGAAAGTGCTAGAAAGTAACTGAATAAGCTAGAATTCTCTCGAGACGGAATTACGTACTACGATTACGCATTTACTTACGTATGCGCTTATTAATTATATTATAATTAATAAGCAATGGAATATTTTAGTAAGAGGTTTTTATACTTATATATAGGCGTGTATTTACTTACTTAGACCTTTTATTAAATAAGTAACTTCTTATATAGTAATTTAACTATATTACTCTCTTTATTATAAAAACCTCTTTTATATACGCTTATTTCCCCTATATTTATATATTTTTATTTCTATATAAATATTTACTTTTTATATTTTTTTATAAGAATATCCCGTATTATATTATTAAAACTATATGTACTAAAAATTCTATTAAATTCTAAACGTTTTTATTATTTTTATTTATAATAATTAGTATTATTATTAATTATAAATATATTATATATACTTATATTACTATATAAGTCTTATTATTATAAATAAAATATATAAAAAGTTTTAGAATTTTATAAAAACTTTTAAAATATTATAAAAACTTTTAAAATATTATAAAAACTTTTAAAATTTTATAAAAACTTTTAAAATATTATAAAAACTTTTAGAATATTATAAAAACTTTTAGAATTTTATAAAAATTTTTAGAATATAATAAAAATTATTAGAATATTTAAAAAATATATTAATAATATAACTAATTATTATTAAATATAATAATAAAAAGAGTTTTAAAATAAAATATTAATTAATAATTTATAAAAATTTTTAAAAATCTAACTTAACTATATATACTTTTACTTTTCTTTTTTTAGTTTACTTACTTTTATTTTTTAATAATAATAATAATAACTTTTTTAATATATATATATATATATATATTACTCTTTATACGGGCTTTATTAAAATAATTATAAATTTTAATAATTAGTTTTATAATATAATTATTAGTTATTATAAGTAAATACCTAGGTAAAAATTATTATTTAATTAATATTACTTTAATTAAACTTTAATAAGTACTACGCTTTAATATATATATATATATATTAATATATAGTATTTTTTAAGACTTTTTATATAGTATAATACTATTTTTATTATAATTTATTATTATTTTTTTAATTTACTAAGAATACTTTTGACTAATTTAGTCGACTAATTAGTCAAGTAAGTCTGACTATAGTCACTTATATAAGCGACTAATACTAGCCTAGTCTAGTCTAGTCAGGATTTTTTAGTGACTATAGTCAGACTATATTAGTCAGACTATGACTATGACTAATGACTAAGTGACTAATTTACCAACCCTGGATAAGTCACCAGTGTGATGGGTGGGTAGTCATTCCTATCCTCTCCAATTCAAGCCGCCCGGCGGCAACAGGGTGGTGTCGACGCTGATGCAACGATTCAACGGATACCTACTTGCACCTTGAGCCCTGGGGTTCTTGAGGTGGCGCTCCGATGTCCTTTACCAAGAGGAGCATTACAAACCCGTCAAAAGCAGACCCGTTGGGTACGGTGAATGGCACTGAGCTATGATCGTCAGGCAGTCAAGGTCATTGCTGGAACAAGACTAATTGTATCTTGGGACCTTCGGCCGAAACTATTCAAAGTCTAGCGTTCCTGGTGTTCGCGGGCCATGCCGCTTATACTTCAGCTTGAACTTCACCGCTTGCCTAGCGCGCGTCACGCAGTTGCCGCCGTTGATGGCCCTCAGTTCGCTAAGACCGCATCCTGATGACTGCAGGATTGGAGGAGCTTCTAGTGGCATTTTCTACCCCTCCTGCGTTCAGCGGGACATCGAATCCGAGGCCCATTCCGCGCCGAGTTATCGCAGTCCGTCAAACCCGACGATACGTTCCAGTTCTGCAGGTCGAACTGATTTCAGCGTGGTTCATTCGTTTGACAGCGGGATATTTTCAACCCGACCCAGGCCAAGTCTGGACTCCATCAGAACAAGTTTCGAATACATTCAACGTCAGTGGCCTCCTTCGAGCCTGGTGTTACCTCGCCCACACCAGCCAAGGAATCTACCCCTCCTCCCGCGACAAAGTAGTTAACAACCCCGTCAGCCTTTTTTATCGATAAACCACAAACGCCATCAAAAACCGCCCCTCTTTGATGACCCTCTCGTGCCCCTCTTCGTTGTCAGGTTTCATCCGGACACTCTCGCAGTGATCGAGGAACGCGCAGGCTAGTGAAGAAACAGGCATTATGCCTTCTTAGTCGCCGTGTGTCACACATGGAATGCCAGCCTTTTCCGCCCGAGCCCTGTGAAATTTCCATGTCCAGTATGCCGAGAAAATCGGTACGGACGATGTCAAGCCGCGCTTTCATGTCGAGGGAAACAGACTGGTCGAGACCACGATGCTGGAGGGCGACATGCCGATGTTGCCCAAAGGGTGCCCGAATATCTCTTGCGGTTTTCCAGGGCAGCCTACTGCGCACGAGGGCCCAACGGTCCAGGCATATGAATGATGGACTTTTGGGTGGTTATCCAGGCCAAACCCAGGCATGTCGGCTGCCGCCAGACGGATACGTGACAACTGTCACTGCAGACAAAAGGCCGTTGCGCTGTTATCCTCTTCCACGTCTTTCATCAGCCAAGCGCCAAGCGCCAACCACCGTCCATCAATGGCCGAGAAGCTCTCTCAGCAAACCGTCACGTCAGGCCTCATCCATGCTTGGATCGACGCTGCTTGACTTGATCAGCCTCTGCCCTGTGGGGTTCCAAGATCCGTAGCGGTCGCTCGCTGCGCTGGAGTATGGAGTACCCTTGAACCATCAGAACCTGGAGCTTTCGGATCCACAGCCACGCCGTATAGGCTGAAGGATTTGGAGACTCGGAGGCCGGCGGCTGTTAGTTTGACGACCGATCCTCGTCAATATGAGGAGTTCTTGACGCCATCTTCAAACCGCACTAACAACTGGCCCGCTACTCGATACCAGCACTAGGCTACCAACAACCGCACCAGCTCCAGAACCTGCCAGGTACCAGGAACAGCGCCTTGGAGCCCGTCTTTAGCGGGCTTTGAGGCCATCGGCTGACCACTTTGCGGCTTGGAGGGTGGATAACCCAACGATGATGGTGTGCAGGAACACCAATTCACCGCTCTTTCACCGGGGCGCGATTCGTTGTCGTCGTCTCTAACTTCATCTTATTTGCTTTCTCCCTGCGTTAGTTCTCCCCTCACCTGGTCGTCATCGTGGTCCGGCCCTGCTAGGAAGGGGAGATGCTGCAGAGTTACTGCAAGGGACCGGACATATCTTGGTTTTACTGTCCGACGGATCGCTGCGCCTAATGCTACTGACCCATCACGAGTTTGACGACACAAGACCGGGCGTGCCGAGATACCAAAAATTTGGCCGCGGATAATAGATGATTCTAAAAGGCTTCGGTTTGCTGTGTTGCAGTTTAGACCAGCGCTGTGACCCCTCTTGACCCCTCTTCCGGCGCAACACAATGACTTGCAGCAATACAGGCCTTGCAGGAGGCGCAATGCATCTACGGATATGCGTTCTCTAGTCAAGCTCAGATTCCATCGAGCCTCATTTTGAGATCTGCATGACGCAGGGAAATGATTGAGGATCCAGATATCATCGTCTATTCCTGCCAGGGCTCACAACGCGATTGAGAAACACGTGTGGGTTCAGCAAAACCTCCCCCAAACCCTATTTTCGGCGCCGTGTTAGTTCTAAGACGATCTGCTCGAGAAATAACCAGGATATCCCTGTAGCATAGGCCTCGTGGAATACCTACCGAACGCGTCCATCAAAGACAATGATGAGGTGACAAACCATTCTTCCCATCGCCGACGCCATTGACGGGCAACTCTGTCTCAACTCTATAGAGTCTAGAAACACGCATCACTGTTCACCGCTTCTTTTTCCAGTGTTCGACGACGGCTCGATCTTGAATACGAACCCCCGGGCTGGGTCTCATTGATCGCAAAAGGCACGTGCAGCAACGGCACTTGCAACGGCGCAACTCACGGACTCTCGCCTTTCTGTGATTGTTCTCTTGAGTTCGATTATCACGGGCCGTCCGCGTGGTCGACGATGATTGTCCCGAGGCCATCGCCGGCGTGGCGGCAGATCCGGCGTTTCCGATCTGTCCACGTGCCTTGGAGAGTGAACGATTGTTCTCTTTCAGCCTTCGGTCCACGATGCTTCCAAGCGGTGACGGTACGCCTGCCAGTTGCCATTCCCAAGTCACCGCACGATGATATGTGCTCAAGCGCTCGAAGGCTAGCTATTCAACTTACATAATTGAACGGCACATACTATTTTCGTCTCGGTGCTTTTATCATCCTCCAACGGCCGGAAGCCCAGCCAGCTAGTATGCGCACAGCGATCGACTGGTCAATGCTTGCCGCCCTGCAACGTCCTTCACCGCCGGTGAGAGACCTGGTTGCAGCTTGTCTCAAACGAAAAAATATATGCCAGCCATGTCTCTTTTCATCTGGATCTGATAGAACTCCCGTGTCCTGCGGGCTGGGGGGAGTAGGCGCTCGGGGAGGCGGCCGATCTAACGTGGGCGGGTTCTACATGTGAGATGTAATGTCTCAGGCGCACTTCTGCAGCAGGCATCTGGGCTCAAGAGTTTGTCTGACTCGGCAAAAATGTCTGGCAGTACGGATGCCTAGTGCTCTGGTGCCGATGAATCGTCTTGCCCGTCGCTGACTCGGAAAGGGATGATCACGGCGGTTGCTAATCAAGCCTCTCTCTTCTTTGCTGATGATGAACAACGATGCAACTGGAAGGCCAAGGACCATGTAGACCGCAGCAAGCCAATCGTGTGTTATAATAAGCACAAACGAACATGACGGTAAGATTGTTCTCATCTGACTGTCCGCACACAAGGGCTAAATAATTCTATTCGCTGGCCTTTCGTCCGTATGTTTCCGGGTGCCACGCTGTCAAGCAGCTATGTGTGCTTGTCTCCAAGGAGGATGCTGGTACATGCCCTCCATCGGTGGTCTCGAGTGTAAGTATTTCCCTCGACACAAGCAGAGACTGTACGTGATTCCGCTGCTCAGTGCTCGGCTGCAGATGATGTCCTGTCTTAGAAGAGGGTGCCTTCGGGTCGTTGAGACCCCGGCCGACATGTAAAGGGTTGAGAAGACGCAAGATCCTTCCAATTCATGTAGGCCAGATGCCAATATGTGGTTCTTCGTCGATTGTGCTTAATCATCGAACATCTCGATGCGGAAGAAGCCCAAAATTCGATCTGAATACATAGATGGCCCTTGAGCAGACTTTAGCCAAGTCTTCAGATGAGGCTATGAAGTAACTGCCCAAGCAGGATTATCCTCGAGAATCCAATCGCTTCCTTGAGGACCCCAGATGAGGCTTCGTTTTTTTTTTCTTGGCACGGCAACTAGAATATGGCATCGCGGATCTCCGCGAATTCTTCACCCCTGGATCGCTGTCGAGCGTATGTCAGAGTCAAGTCCGGCTTTTTCTGAGGCCCATCGGTGATCAGAGGAGAGTAGTCAGTGAGGCCAAAGTACCGGTTGATGCCTGTAGGAAACGAGCTCAGTTTAGACTACTGACCTTATATTAAGCTAATGGTCACAAGCAAGAGCTTCAGCTCTTGGCTTTAGAATTCTTGTCAAGACTGAAGAAATTCTAATTTGGATTACAGTGGTCCGATGCACGGGGGGTATATTAAGATCAATATCATTGTCCCAACGACGCCCGCAATGATCGGGCTTCAGAAACCATAAGGAACTACCTTCTATAGGCTGATTACCAAACGGGTGAGAGCATGCTTGTCCATGCCACGGTGTAAGACGCCTCCGGGAGACCTCTGGCTAGATTTACCTTCATCCAAAACAAGAACCTACGATATACGACAAGCTTAAGGCTGCATGACGGATGGCTTAGACTCCGCCCCAACCAGCCAGCCATTGTCATCTGAAAAAAAAAACCTTTGTTGCACAGAGTCTTTTTTTGGGGAGCACTGCTCACTCTATGGCGTCTACAAGCCCGGATCATCCTGGGTCCATGATGCTTTTGTGTCAGTCTGACTTCGGACAGACTCCATCAAAGGAAAAAAAATTTAAAAGAAGAAGAAGAAGAAGAAGAAGAAAGGGACGAAAAGAGGGCAAAAGCTGTTACCTAGCGGTTCGAAACGAAGGTCTCGACGTGAAGTCAAGTCCCCGGGGGCTGTTTCATATCCTGCGGCACACAGCCGCACACACCAGGGTGCTGACATCGTCCCAACGATCCGTGGCAATGATCTGGGATTGCGCAAGAAGTCTTTGCGTAGATGACAGCAAAACATCTATGGCTGCATGTGAGTTTATGGTAGGATCACGGAAAGGAAGGACGATGGATGATTGATGTGACGTCGGATCCCGTCAGCTGTTCAACATGCCCTTCTGCTACCCACTCGGGTCGTGATGTTGCCGGGAATCAGGTCGTTTGTTTGCGTTACGCCCGGCTTCGGATATATGCCAGAATTGTTCAGCCGAGGACTGTCTTTCTTTGCAGGTTGAAACCAGATAAACTCTCCCGCGCCTATGTGGCTTAAGGTTATGCTGGCATCGTGAGATCTTGCAGACAAGAACGCAAAAAGCCGAGTTTCGTTTGAAGTCCAAAGCTATATCGGGGACTTGGCCCCTTAGGACGTTTCGTAGAGCCACCCCCGCCTGCCCAGTAAACGTTGCTTCATGTCACAATAAAAGCCCGTCATGGGGGAGGGACTGCATGTGTGTGACTTAGGATATGCAAACACACAGGGTACTTCCCAGGTCTACCATGACTTGGATGCTGAAGAGTATGGGGAACGGGAGCGGGTGTAGTTGAGTTGAGTTTGGTAAAAGGGGAACACGCCAAGGATGGTAAAGAACTCTTTTAACGTGTGTGCGAATAGGAAGAAATCGGGCTGATCTTTTTCCTCCCTGCCTACAAGATTCTCCATCTCTCAGCAGCCCGCGCGCTTGCGTATTGGACGTGCGCTGTTATAGAGTTGGGAGGGAGGGTTTCCAGCGACTCGTGGCATGCCTGTGAGGGCTTTGCCCTTTTCTTTGGATTCTGTTTGAGAACATGTCCTCACTGAGCCTGTCGAGGTTCGCGATAACGAGGCAACTATAAGCTAGGCGTGTTTGAATATGGAAGGCTGTTCATCGAGCAATCCTCTTCAGCTTCAAGCTAGGATGAGGGATGAGAGATGGCGGCGGTTCTCTTATGGAGGCAAGGCAAACACGCAAAAGAGACTGGCATTAGCATGTAAGTCTTGAGGGCAGAAGAAACCATCATCGCCACACACACTCTTTCTCTCTCTCAACCCTCTTTCACCCTTCTTCATACGGGGCAAAGTCGCCGGGCGGGCAACGGGAGCCCGGGAGACCAACGTTCTATGAAGCGAGATGCCGGCCGAAAGTGGGTTCCTCTTCGTGATTTCCCGCTGGTGCATGTGTCAAAGTCTGAGCGGGTGTTTTGGCAGTCTCTTTGCCTATTCTTGGCCCTCCTCCGCATTCTGGGGGCGCAGAGAGAGAACCGAGCTCCTTTTTTTTTTCTCTGTCTACACACGGTTCAGCTTTGGGTCTTCGTCCCCTTCCTCTGTGAGACAACTCCCATCACTTGTTCGAACCTTTCCGACGGGAGGCGGTGCGAGTGGGATGATTTGCCTCTTACTCAACATCTCTTCTGCTCTCCGTTTCAGTGTTTGAAGAAAAGGATGGTCCAAGAAGCAGCCCGCTTTCTGAGAATCAAACGCCGAGGCTTGAGAGAGGTGGGTGTTTGATCGTGAGACCCCGATTGTTCTGATACCGAGGAAGCAGAGCTAGATTCAGAGCCGGAAGGTTTGGAGGAGCATGTAAGTGGAGGATCTGGGCGTTTCGGGGCTTGAGCGGATCATTCAACAAGTTCCTTCTTCTATTCGCGCCTTTAGTTTTCATTCTTGATGAGCATGGACGTAGGAGATGTTGGCCTTCTAATTGCAGTTTGTTTGAAGATGGACCTATGCGGAGTGGAACCAGGCAACCTGTCTATGAGTATGCGGAGATAAATCTATATCAGCGAGACTCGGCCGAGGAACGGATGAATTAAGGTAGCAGCCCTTTCTTGTTGAGTTCAACTAATGTTTGCCTGGGTTGATTTACTTCTATAGACGATAGGGGGCGGAAACTTTGCCGTGAGTGATGTTTATTGGGGTTGGATACTAGGAGTAACTTGTTGGTCGGCATCGGTTCTACTGGAGTAATGACTAGGATTTGCTATGACTACTGTGAGCGCCATATGATCGACGGCTTCAAGCTAGACACAAACCATAAGGCAGCGGTCTTAACATCGTGTGTTGATATCCTCTTCGCGCCTCTGGACAAGCCAGAGATATCCGCAATGAGGAAGTTGGAACAAGGGAAAAATAAGACAGAATCAATATTCCTTTCGCGTCGCCTGGAGGCAGTGTAATACCAGGGACACGGTGGGAAGCCGACATGTGTAACCTCTCTCCCTCGATGAAACCCATGCCTCCTTTCCCGCGGAGAGCCACGCCGAAACGTGGCGCCGCGAGAAAGAAGAGCGAGCAACGCCGCAAGCCTCAGGAGAGTGAGAAGACACCGAGGCTCGTCTTCCCGAGATTATAAAAATTGTGTCAACCGTCGAAAAACAGGCTCGCGATCCCCGTGGGGATGCTTGCCCAGCTGGCTAGACTGGGAAGAACAGATACTACACTTGATCATAGCCTTGTGGCTAAGAGAGCTGGAGAAGAAAAGAAGAAATATACAATTGAAAGGAGAGATGTGGGAATTTTATAGATGGATGAGAGGTTGTAGCCATGGGTGAAGGCTGCGGCGCTGATGAGGCCAAATTTCTGGGGACTCGAATGAGGCCAATTTGAATGAGGCCAATCTGGGGGCCAGCCAAGCGAGGCCAAATCAGTCAGACTTGGGTTACCAGGCAGAACTTCAGAAGTGCTGAGTCCTGTTTGGGAATCATAGCTGAGGCTGGTCTGCGTCAAGTGTTTCCTATCTGCAGATCACTTCGTGTTCAACTAGACGATGTTAACGAAATATGATGAGTATGCCTCTGAAGCATGGCGTTTTCAGAAAAAGGTCCGTTGCCTCAAGACTTTTCGATATGGCTATTCCGACTGAATAGTCCGCCATGCAGATTCAAGGTCGATGAGCAGGGCGATTCAGGGTTTCAATGAATGCCAAAATGTTCTTGGGGCTTAATCAAGAATCAACCGGCTTGAAGTAATCGGGACCCAAGAGAAGTAAATTTCAGTCGCTAGACAGTACTTGAGAGTGATGGCCGCTGTGAAGACAACACTCTCTTATGACCAAAGCCACAATAGGCGCGTTAATTTATATACATGCGCTGAATTGAACTTTGGGAGTAACTGAATGGGGCAGTTTGGTCTCATCGAAGTGCTTGGTGATTATTATGAAGCTATTTAAACGAAACATAAACCTACGCGCAACGAGAAGGCCGGTTCGAATACTGCCTGCTTCAAACACTTTAGAATCCAATTCATATGATATAGTATCATAACACCAAGATAAACTACTACAACAGAATGAGCTTGACTGATACCTACCAAAGGAGCCCCATCTCCGTGAAGTCGACCCGGAGCC